AATTTATCAAAAAGCCTGCCTTTTTCCCGCTTTGTCTCCAGCTTATAAAAGCAGTCAGTTCGGAGGACCTTCCTTCCCTCTGGGCTCCCTCCCTGTGTTCAAGCATGAGCTCAATGAAATCTGTCTGGAAGTCCACTGGGGTTTGCTCTCAGTTTCTGTCTTAGGGAACCCAAGAACCCCGGCGCCAGAAACACTCCTGGACCTGGGGGCTGCGTCCTTCCAGGCAGAGCCCAGAGCCTGCCTCCCTGCAGGCCCATCTGGCACCCAAGGCCACGTTCTCCCAGCTGCCCCTACCCGAGGCGGGGGTGTGGGTAAGGTTCTCAGTGGGTGGGGTGGTCTTCCTTGGGCCTGACAGAGCTCCGTCTCAGCCTGGTTTTCCTGTCAGAGCCACAAGGAGGAAAAGACATCCTTCCTAGGGGCGTAAGTACCCACCCAAATGATAGGAAATGAAGCCGCCCTGCCTATCACCAGCGGCTGTTCCTCTTGAGGGAGCTCAAGGCTGCCTGGGACTGGGAGGCCGTGTGGGTGGGGGTGCCAGCGCTGACCTCTATCCCGGATCCACAGTTGAAAGACCATCTGCCCAGCACTTAGCAGCTTATGAAGAGCTTTCATATAAATGGTCTCATTTCACTTCCACAACACCCTGGGAGGGAGGGGGAGTCTCCATCCCCCTATACAGAGGAGGACCTCAAGGCTCGGAGAGGTTCGTTCACCTGCTCTGGCCTGGAGCGTGCCCTCCCTCCCTCTGCACACAGGCGTCTCGGACCCAGGAGAATGAGAGCCCCCCTGCCGTCTGCTGCACCATCGTGCTCAGGTCCCCTGGAAGGGCTGCCACCCAGGATGACTTGGTCCTATGCTGTAGTGGCTTCTTTTTGCCACAGTCCTCTGGCTCCACGGGCCCAACCTGTGGTCCAGCTCTGTGGCCACCCTGGGGCCTCCTGCTCAGGGGCCCAGGTGCACAGCTTTCTCAGCCCAATTGGCCAGGCGCCTCCCGGTGTCCCATCCCCCCTTCTAGTTCATGTGTACGACAGCACCTGTCTTTGGGGGGATTTTAAGTGATAGAAATAAGCAGCCTTATTGCTACATAAAATGCCCCCTTACAAAGTGTACATTCTGTAGTTTTTATTACATTTAGTGTTGTGCCGCTGTCACCACCATCTTGCCCCAGAACATCTTCATCACCCCAGAAGGAAATCCCCGCCCGTCAGCAGTCCAAACACCCATCCATCCAACAACTAAACATTTGACCAGCGGTCCATCAGAACACCCACCTATCCATTTATCCACCCATTCATGCAGTCACCCACTCAATAAATCCATTATCCACTCATCTTTTTACCCACTCACCTATCCACCTATCTACTCACCCACGCAGCCATCTGTCTATGCAATTGTGCATCCATCCATCTACCAAACATTTAATCACTAGCCCATCTAATGATCCTGCCACTTAGTCAGCTACCCACCTGCTCATCTATCCATCCATCCACCTGTCCATCTTCCCATCTACCCACCCAACTACCCATTCTCCAGTCCATCCATTCAACCCGCTGTCCATCCTTCCATCTACCTACTCAATCACACATCTTTCCAACTAACAACCATTCAAGCACCAGTCTAACAAGTCATCCATCTAACCATCCGCCCATTCAACCAAACATCCATCCATCTGCCAGTGTGTCAATCACCGATCCACCTGACATCCTGGGCACCGGAACTGGGACCTCAGCTCAGCTCGGTCAAGATGGGATCAAAGGCACCCAGATGAGTGTCTAAAGGCACCGTTTATTGAACACAGGCCAGGAGGGATTTCCCAGCAAGCCTGGAAGCCTGCTTCATCTAGACACAAAGGCCTCGCTTCTTGGTGGAATATGTTTCCACCCACTATACCCTGCCCAGTTAGCGCCTCTGCTGCTCTGGCTGACACTTTGGGGCACCTGTTCCTCACCACTTCTCACTGGCTTGGGCGGCTATTTGGACGTGAAGTCATTTATCACATCCACCATTTTTTGAGCCTTACCCATATGCCAGGAACCTGCAAGATCCTTTACTATTTAACTTTCACAAAGGTACCATGAGGGAGATGGTGGGTCAACCCCCATTCTCTGGACAAGGAAACTGAGGCCCAGAGAGGTGAACTACCTTGTCTGGGGGAACCCAGACTGGAGCCCCCTTCTACGACCTTGCAGAAAAGGGGGAACCCCCATCTCTGAGGGGTGTTTGCAGTGCTGCCTGGGATGCAATGCACCCCAGCTTGTGGGCTGAGAAGTGGCCCAGGGTGCAGAGGTGCTGAAGGACGCTTAGGCGGAGCCTGCAAATGAATGGTCAACGGGAATGGTCATAATGCGCCCTTCCCACCGTTGACCACCTGGCCGGCATCCACTCTCCTGTCCACCCTGGCCTTTTCTCATATCCTCAGACTCGCTCAGGGCTGTGTGGTGACTGTTCCCTCTGCCTTTGTGGCCGCAGCTCCCTTCACTCAGTCACGCCCACCACCACCCTGGTCTTGGCTCACAGGTCACTTCTATGACTTCCACAGGCCCCCTGTCATAGCAGACTTCCCACTCTCCGCCCTCTGGACAGCCCACTGGGCCCTTCCCTGCACTTAGCCCCACCACAGCCATTCAGCTAAGCGTGCACCTCCCACCAGGGAGAAGGTTCCAGGAGGCAGGGCTCCAGCACCTGGAGGGCACACAGCAGGTGCTCCAACTAACATTTATTTGCTCAAGGTTCAGCCCCTCTGAAGTATTTCCAGCCTCTCGCCACCCATGTCCTCCCCAGGGGCTACCAACCCCTGCCTCTCTCTACCCAACACCACCCGTCAATTTCCACATCTGGGACACTCTAAGTTCAGAGCTGCTCTCTACCGGGGACCCCAACATTGGCCCGGGACCAAGCCCAGGTTAAATGTGGGTGGGCAATGGCAAGAATGCCCCACTTCCCCTCTCGCCTCCATGAAGCCCCCGATGCCTGTATCAGTGCCCCAAGCACCTGAAGATGGTCTGCTGGCCCTTTTCTGAGTGACAGGTGCCGGAGAGCAGGGCCCTCGGGCAGACGAGGTCTGCCGTGAGGCTGCAGCAGCCGGTCTCAGACACTTGCAGAAGGAATACATGAATGGACGGCTGCAGGGCCACGAGAGGCCAGAGCCCTGGCTCAGGTGGCAAGATCTGGTTCCCTCGGACAAAAGCTGGTGCAGAGGCAGGTGAATAAATCATGAAGGACCTGGAGCAGGGCTGGGTGGGACAGCTGACCTCATTCTGGGAGGTGAGGAGCAGGCGGCTGGGTGGTGAGTGGTCTGGGGACATAACGAGGGGGCACAAGAGGCCAGTGGGGCTGCCTGGGTGCTTTTCCTTGAGAAGCAGGAGGTTGGAGGTGCTGGCAGAAGGGAGAGGGGGATGGCGGAGGGTCTGGGGGAAGGCTGGAGGGCTTATCTTTCCACAATCCAGGAGCCATTCTGGGGGGGTAGGGAATAGGAGAACAAGGATGGACGAACAGACAGACAGACCAGTGTGAGAAACAGCCCCACACAACAGAGGGTGGGAAGTGACAGAGAAGGCCTGAGTGGGCGCATGTCGGCAGGGGGCTGGGGGTGGAAAGAAGGGCTTCAGGTGAGACGGACACACGGAAACACCAAGAGCACGCGGGGCAGAGAGCAGGACAGAAGCGGAGGAGGAGGGCGTGCAGGGAGAGTCCGAAGCCGGGGCCCAGAGAGTCGGCCTGGCCGGGGTCAGCACAGCCCGCCCTGTGGAGCCCCTGTGCTGTCTGTGGCCTGCGTGAAGGTTGGAGGGGGCAGGGGGCAGGGAAGGCTGGGATTGGGGAGAGGCACCGTATAAGCAGCATGGGGAACTAGGAAAGATGGGCCCAGGGGGGCCCGGAGCCCATGGAGTGAGCGACAGGGAGGGAGGAGCTGGGACCCTATGGGGACCACACCCGCAGCTACCAGCTTGGCGACTCTCCTGCAGGACAGAGACCGGAGTGGGGCAGTGACCCCGGCCAACGAGAGGTGCCAAGCCCGCGTCTCCATGGCCCTTCCCCAGGGCCCGGAAGGTGACAGCCCCCCCACGGGGGACCCCAAGCCCTCTGAGGGCCCTGCAGGGCCCAGCCGCACCCCTGCCAGCCCAGCAGTCACCAGGCGGCGGCTGCTCCTGCAGGAGCTCGAGGCCCAGGTGCAGGCGGCTTACGGGCAGGTAAAGTGGGCGAGTGTGGGACCGTCCTCACCTGAGGGGACAGTAAGCAAACAGAGGGGACCCTATACCCCAGCTGGGGCCCTCTAGGGCAGACCTAGGGCCGAGCCCAGGCAGGAGAAAGCCTGGACATGCGTGTCGATGGAGGGCCCAACCACTCAGTCAGCTGCTTGTGAGGGAGGCTGGCTTCTCTCCCCACCGCTGTCCTCGCTGAGTCCCGCAGCCAGCCCATGGCCCCAGAGTCGGGGGCTGGCCCAGGCAGAGGGGCCAAGGGCAGGAAGTCTGGGCAGGTGATCTGAGATGAGAGCCAAGACCCTGGCAGGAAAACGAGCAAGGACTTCCCGGGCTGGGCAGCAGTGTCCAGCTCTCCCAGGGCAGGCAGAGAGGGGACGCTCCGCAGAGGCCGCACCGCCTGGTCTCCTCCGCCATTCAGATGGGAGAGATGCCCCAGACTGCCCTCGCACACCAGGCACCTGGCTTCCCCTCCCAGGTCCAGGCCCGGCTCCGGAAGAAACCGAATCTCTTCTGATTGAGAGATTAGGGGTCGGGGCCGGGGGAGAGGGATGCCGGAGAAGCACTATCTGGAAGACTCTCAGGGGTGAACATGGGGAGACTGGGCTTCCAGGGGGCCTTGGGCCCCGAGTGGCCCCCCTCACCAGCAACAATTCTCAGAGATAATCCCAGATTAGGACCCAAGCCCCTGTGCCCAGGGCTCTCCGCCTGCCCACCCGCCCCTGATCTTCCCCACAAAACCCTCGGAAAATCCCCTGCCTTGCTCCCAGACTCACTGGGAGCAGCTGGGGGCTGGCCGCAGCCCACGGCATCTGCGGAGGCCCAGCCCCGGGCCGTCCCCGGGACTCTAGGCTTGGCATGGTTTGGGGGCCCATGGGCAACTGTGCCAAGCGGGCCCAACCCCGGAGGCCTAAGGTAGGGGGGCTAAAGGGGAGAGGCCAAAGCCAGGAGTCGAGGCTGGACCCTGGAAGGGTCAGGTGGGGGGCAGGGCCCTGTGTGAGGCCAGGCAGGGGTTAGAGCTGGGCACATCCAGGGGGTGAAGGGGTTGGTTCCCACTGGGCCTCCCCTGCCAAGCTCAGCTGGCCCCCAGCTGCCCACCCGGCTGCCTGCTCTCTGCTACTCAGTCTTGAGCTGGGGGACAGAGCTTGAGCTCAAGGTCTCACTATTTCACAGGCTTTTGGGGTGACATTGGCCAAGTCCTTTGTCTTTCCTGGGCCTCAATTTGCCCAAATGAACAGTAAGTGGGGGGGGGGCAGGCCTTCCAGCCTAGAGTGTTAATAGGTGAGGGCCCCGTCTCTCCTGTGCCAGGTGCCAAAGACAGGAGAGGCTGATGAGTAGGGGTGTGAGCAGCTGCTGCCCCAGCTCATGGCTGGCTCTGCTGCAGGACAGCTGGCAGTGGCCCGGCTCCCCCACAGGGGGCTCCCACCACAGCCCGGGCCCCAGCCTCAGCCCTGAGGAGCAGGGGGGCCCCAGGCCGGGCGTCCAGAGCTACTCGGTGCTCAGCAGCCTGGTGGGGCCTGCCTGCATCTTCCTGCGGCCCAGCATCGCGGCCACCCAGCTTGTATGTACGGCCGCCCACCGGCCCTCCCGCCACCCTTGTTCCCTCGCCTTCCTTTCTCCCTGAGTAGTGGGGAGAGGACTGAGTGGCGAGGCCAGAGCAGAGGCACACAGACCCGGGGGGCTGGAGGAGTGGAGAGAGACCCAGAGAACTGTCAGAGACAGCCACCCAGGGGATGGGCAGGGAGGTGGCAGGGTCCCTAGCAGACGGACAGTGACACTGAGGCCCCCATGCCCGGGACCTGCCCATCTCTGGCAAATGGGACCTCGTGCACTAGAAGAGGGTGGCAGGGGGTGGGAAGGCCCTGGGAGAGACCTGGCAGGCGGCAGGCAAGAGGGGAACCCAAGTCCCCCAGGCCCCCAGCAGGAATGGGTGGGAGGAACTGGGTCTGAGTAGTGTCAGACATGAACCCTGCACATGCGTGTTGTGGGGCTGAGTGGGGAGCCCCAAAGAACAAGAAGCAAGGGGTCCAAGAAATTCCCAACCCCTCTGTGCCCCCTCAGGACCGGGAGCTGCGGCCGGAGGAGATTGAAGGTAAAGGGTTTGGGGAAGAACTAGAGTTTCTGGAGGGGTGGGCACGGGGGCGCAAACACGGGAGGGGGTGTCGGGTGGGGGTCCCAGCAGTCTCCAGGAGGACGGACCCAGAAACTAGAAGGAGGCTGCAGGGGACCTGTGCAGGGAGACTGGCGACAAGACTGAGCAGGGACAGGGTGGCAGAACACAGGCCGCCGTTGCCTGGTCTTGTTGCCAGCTGTAACGTGGGCCCCTTCCTGGGTACCCACGGTGTGCCTGGCCCTGTGCTGGGCGCTGGGGGCAGGGCAAACCAGACAGAGAGGGCCTATGTCCTCTGCAGACAGGCGTCAATGAGTCCCATGGTGCTAAGTGCTTTCAACCACAAGTGCAAATGGGCTGCAGGAGTTGGAATTTAGAGGGAAGACCTCATGTCTCATAAGGACCATGGAGGAGGGGGGAGTGTTCAGAACGTGAGCTCCATGAGGTCAGGGATTTCCTCCCTCCCTCCATTCTTTCTTTCCTTCCTTTCTTTTTCTTTCTTCATTGCCACATCCCCACTGTCTAGAGCAGAGCTTAGCACATGCTAGGTGTTCCTCAAATATTTGCTGAGAGAATGAATTTTAGGGATAGCATGTGCAAAGGCCCTGAGGCCGCAAAGTTTCAAAGCGGGGAATGATTGGACCAAGAGGAGAAGGGTGAGTTGATCAAAACTGGGAAATGGGAAAAAACTGACCCTGTCCCGTTTGGCAGAGCTGCAGGTCGCCTTTCAAGAGTTTGACCGAGACCAGGACGGCTACATCGGCTGCCGGGAGCTGGGCGCCTGCATGCGGACGCTGGGCTACATGCCCACCGAGATGGAGCTCATTGAGATTTCCCAGCAAATCAGTATGTGCCTCAGAACCGCCCCCACCCCCATTTCTCTAGAGGCCAGGGCAGGGCACCCAAGCAGCCCAGGCACAGGGGTGCCAGCACTGGGTAGACCCCAGAGCCCAGACCTGGGTCGTTTTTCAGCCAGGACACTGCCTCCAGAGAATCTCACCGTCCCCTATGAGGTGGGCAGGACAAGGACCACTCTTCCCATTTGTGGGACAAGGAAATTGAGTATCTAGAAGGTTAAGTGACTTGCCTATGGTTACACAGCCAAATCTTTGGAGCCAGGACTTAAACCCACCCAAACTCTTCAGGAAAATTAAGGAAATTCATTAAAAACTACAGATGACCCAGCCATGGGACCTGGAGGGAAGGAAGGGCGGAGGGCAGAGGAGGGGCAGGGGTCTCTGATGGCCCCCAGGGTCCCTGATGGGCGTGGCCGTCAGGTGGTGGGAAGGTGGACTTTGAAGACTTTGTGGAGCTGATGGGCCCCAAGCTGCTGGCCGAGACGGCGGACATGATTGGAGTCCGGGAGCTGAGGGACGCCTTCCGAGAGGTGCGGTCCTGGGGCGGGGGGCGGGCGGTGGGAGCCCGCGGGTCTGCTCTGAGTGACTTGTCACTGGCGACCCAACGCCATGCCCAATGCTGCCACAGTTTGACACCAACGGGGATGGCTGCATCAGCTTGGGGGAGCTCCGAGCTGCCCTCAAGGTCCTGCTGGGGGAGCGCCTCAGCCAGCGGGAGGTGGACGAGATCCTTCACGACATTGACCTCAATGGGGATGGCCTGATCGACTTCGAAGGTACCACCTGACACCACACACCCTGGATGGTCTTTTAACAGATAAAAACAGTGTGATTCATCACTGCATGCCAGGCCCTGTGGTCAGTACACCCCAGCCCCTCCCAGTAAATCAGCATGAGAACCCACGAGAAAGGAACTTTTATTATTACCTCATGAGCAGAAGGAGGAAGTCTGTTCTTAGAAAGTGGAGGTGCTCCATGAGAGGAGGTGCCTGGAGCCCAGACCCAAGTCCAGGTGCCTGACCAGACCCCTCCTGTCCCTCTACACTGTGCTCCCACCAAGGGACAGCAAGGGTTGGATAAGCACAGGGAGCCAAGGAAGATCAGGATGTAGAAATTCTCCAGAGCAGGCCCCCCAATTTTTCCTGAGCTTCCTAGTGGCCAAAGCAAGTCAGACATCTGGTCAGCTGTCAGACGCTGACGTTTGTTTGCTTCAGCACACAAAGCAAGGAGAAAAATAGGTTCCGTTACAAGAGGTTTTCTGTCCATAAGGCAAAGCCCCTCTCCTTAGCCTGGAGACCCACTGCCTCTCAGGCCCAGGAGACACCCTTGCAGGCCCTGCCATTGGACACACTCCCTCACACCTCAAGACCAGTACAGTGGCATCATCAAGAGAGCAGACCCAGAACCTTGGCTTTGTCTTGGCAGAGTTTGTACGAATGATGTCTCGCTGAGCCTGCACAGAAGCTGGAGGCAGCGGAGGGGACTTGGGTGCCCTGGAAGCCCATGTCTCCAGCTGGACCCTCTGCCTCTCTTCCCTGCCCACCCCCCTGCCTGTGTGCAATGTCCTCGCCTGCCCTCCCCCCAACCCCTCTCCTCCACCAAGGCCCCTGCTCATCTATTTCTCTGACAATAAAGTACCTTCAGACCTGGGGACATGGCTCTCACCTCTCACTCCCTCATCCTGGAGGACCCACTACTTGGCCCCCAAAAGTTAAGTCCTGAGCCACGGGCTCCTGCACTGTGAGCTCTGGGCAAGCAGGGGCTCTCTCTGGAACCCGGACCCAGTCCACAGCAGGTCCCCGAACAGGTCAATCCAAGCTACTCCTCCCAGGGGTGGGTGTTGGCCGCTCACCCTGGGAAGGGCCCCTGCCAGACCCAGATCTCTGCAGAGGGCAGAGCGACTGCGCAAGGGTTTCCCCAAGGTCCATCTCATTCACTCTCAGAGGGCAGCTGCTCAGAGGCCTTTGAGAGTGAACTTGCATTCTTCCCAGCTTTAATTCTCTGCTGGGAAGAGTGGCTCAGCTGTCGGATGCTGATGTTTGTTCAGCACACACCTCGGCTTCTGGGCTGCAGTCGCGCTCTCCCCGGGGTGGGAGCCCTAGCCGCTGAGCGAGCCTGGCGGGCGCTAGGACCTGCGTGGTTTTGCCGACTGGAGCTCCTCCCCCCCCCCCGCCCTGCTCTTTGCCTCCAGCTCTAGTCACATTCGCCCTTTGGCTTTCTCGGCCCTCTCTGCCTTGCAGTCCTAACTTCATCTCACCATCTGCTTCCTGGGTCACCTGAGTGACACGTCTGCTCACTCCAACCCTGCCCTGGTCTTCATAACCCCATTTTCCACATGGAGGAAACCCAGAGGCCCAGGCTAAGTGATGGGCTGGAGGTCCCACGGCCCCACCCTGTCTGCTCCAGTCCCTGTGGCACATGCTGTCTAGTTGTCGTTCCTACCATATCACTTGTACTTGGTGGCACTCCTGTTCAGAAACTGGCCAAGATCCCCTGTGGTCCTCAGGTTGACCCAGACCCTTTGCCTGGCACCTCTGGGAGGGCAAGGGATGAGCACTGTCACAGTCTGGGTGCCGTGGAGGCAGGACTTGTCCTGAGGCCTGGGGACTCTACGATCAGACAAGAGAGGATACCTCGGGGTCAGAGCAGACCGAGCACGGGCCTCAGCCTCTTCTAGCTACAGCGAAGCCTGGTCTGCAGGGTGCAGCCTGCCTGGGAGGCAAGATGAGCCCTGACCTCGTGGTCGGTAAGGGGTGGGGGTTTTCAGCCCTGTGCTTGGCCCTCATCTTCACTGCTGCCAACAGGATGGCCTTGAGACAGAGCGGGCAGGCAGCCACCAGTGCCCTGCCCAGCCTGGAGCGTGGACCCTGAGGTGCCAGGGCTGGCTACGGTAGCTTCAACACCACCCTCCTGGAAGATCCCAATTAATCCTTAATCTTCAATTAGGCGATCTCTCCTGCAGCAGTCTGGCAGGCCTGGGGATGAGGAGGCGTCAACCCAGGCCAGCAGCTTCACTGGGAGCCGTGGGCCCAGCCCCCTTCCCACCCCTCTCCGCCAGCTGACACAGATGGCATTGCTGCTTGAGATAGCTGTTCTCTCTGCAGGGATTGAAGGGGGTGGTACATGCCAGGGAAGCCCAGAGCCCTGCTCAGGGTTAGCCTCCGACCGCCCTCTGGCTCCCAGCCATGGAGTTGCTGGGACGGACTTCATTGTCTGCAGTGGGTCTGCTCTGGCACCAGAAGTGCCCACAGCTCCGCCTGGTCTCACGTGTGCCCTCTCACCCCCAAAAGGTGCTGGATCAGCAGGTCTCAACGGATAACAGCCAGAGCAGGAAGCAGGGCCGGGAAGCAGCAGCAGGCAAGCAGAGCCTGTGCTGAGGCCAGAAGGAGCACCTGCCAGTCAGAGCCGCGGGATCCTCGGATGTTCTATGAGAAACTGTACATTTAGATTTTTACACTAAGTCTATTTTATTTTCTAGTGCATTTTTTAATTTTTTAAATATATTTTATTGATTATGCTATTACAGTTTTCCCATTTTCTCCCTTTATTCCCCTCCGCCCTGTGCACCCCATCCCACCCGCATTTCCTCCCTTTAGTCTGTGTCCATGGGTCATACATGTAAGTTCTTTGGCTTCTCCGTTTCCTATACTATTCTTCACCTCCCTGTCTATCTTGTACCTACCATTTATGCTGCTTATTCTCTGTACCTTTTCCTCCTCTCTCCCCACCGATTCCCTCGCTTATAACCCTCCACGTGACCTCTATGTCTGTGATTCTGTTCCTCTTCTAGTTGTTTGCATAGTTTGCTTTTGTTTTTGTTTTAGGTTCATTTGTTAGTAACCGAGTTTGTTGTCATTTTACTGTTCATATTTTTCATCTTCCTTTTCTTAGATAAGTCCTGTTAATATTTCATATAATAGAGGCTTGGTGATGATGAACTTCTTGAACTTGACCTTATCTGGGAAGCACTTTATTTGCCCTTCCATTCTAAATGATAGCTTTGCTGGATAGAGTCATCTTGGATGTAGGTCCTTACCTTTCATGACTTGGAATACTTCTTTCCAGCCCCTTTTTGCCTGCAAGGTTTCTTCTGAGAAATCAGCTGACAGTCTTATAAGAACTCCTTTGTAGGTAACTGTCTCCTTTTCTCTTGCTGCTTTTAAGATTCTCTCCTTATCTTTAATCTTGGAGAATGTAACTATGATGTGCCTTAGTGTGTTTCTCCTCGGGTCCAACTTCCTTGGGACTCTCTGAGCTTCCTGGTCTTCCTGGAAGTCTGTTTCCTTTGCCAGATTGGGGAAGCTCTTCTTCATTATTTTTTCAAAGAGGTTTTCAATTTCTTGCTTTTCCTCTTGGAACCCCTATGATTTGGATGCTGCAACATTGAAAGTTGTCCTGGAGGTTCCTAAGCCTCTCTTCATTTTTTTGAATTCTTGTTTCTTCATTCTGTTCTGGTTGAATCTTTCTTTCTTTCTTCTGGTCCAAACCGTTGATCTGAGTCCCAGTTTCCTTCTCATCACTGTTGGCTCCCTGTACGTTTTCCTTTATTTCACTTTGCATAGCCTTCTATTTTGCGACCATATTCAACCAATTCTGTGAGCATCCTATGACCAGTGTTTTGAACTCTATCTGATAGGTTGGGCATCTCTTCATCATTTTATTGCATTTTTTTTGGAGCTTTGATCTATCCTTTCATTTGGGCCATTTTGTGTGTGTGTGTGTGTGTGTGTGTGTGTGTGTGTGTGTGTGTGTTGGCACACCTGTTACGCAGTAAGGGGCAAAGGCTTAGGTATTTGCCAGGGTGGGGCAACCCACGTCGCTGTGTTGTGATGCAGTATGTGGGGGGAGGATCTGAGAAGCAACAGTGCTGCTTGCTCTGCTGTCCACTGGCTTTCAGTCACTGTCCCCACTACCCACAAGCAAAATGGGCCTTTCTAGTGCTGATTTTCAGGCGGGAGGGTTTGTGTGCATTCTAGGACCCTGTGGGTCTCTCCAGTGCAGTCTCCTGTGAGGCTGGAAGTTTTTCCCGCTGCCGCCACAACCCCCAAAGATTTTTACAGTCAGAGGTTTGAGGCTTTATTTCCCCTCCCTGGGACCCTGGGTTGTGTGGTCTGTCTTGCTTCCCAGTTTATCCACACACAAATGTGAGACACCCTAGTCTGCCAGCTGCTGCCTCACCCAGAGTCCTCTCTGCCCCTCCTATCCACCTGGGTGAATGTTTCTTCTTTAACTCCTTGGTTGTTGGACTTCCATACCGTTCAATTTTCTTTCAGTTCTGGTTGTTTTTTGCTTTTAAATTTGTTGTTGTCCTTCTTCTGGTTGCGTGAGGAGGCACAGGGTGTCTGCCTATGCCTCTATCTTGGCCAGAAGTCCCACTAAGTCTATTTTAAATACCTGAATGTAACATACATTCAGCAAGGTGTATAAATCTTGAGTAGAGCTCAATGAATTTTAACCTGTGTGTGCACCCAGGTAACCATCACCCAGATCAAGATACTGAGTCCACTTATTTTAGGACAGTTCTAGGTTTACAGAATTCTTTGGGGGATTTACAGTGAGTTCCCATATACCCCACACCCCGCTTCTCCCATGTGTTAGGTCAGGCTTTCCAGAGAACAGCTCCAGTAGGAGAGGTGTGTGTGTGTAGAGATATTTACTATAAGTCATTGGCTCAGGTGATTAGGGAGCTGGGCAGTCCCAGGACCTGCAGCTAGCAAACCAGAGGCCCTGGAGAGCCCGTGGTGTAGTTCCAGTCATGAGAACCAGGTTCTTCAGTCCGGAAGGCCTGAGAACCAGGGATGGTGATGGTGCAATTCCAGTCTGTGGTCAGGAGAACATGGGTGTTCCAGCTCAGCAGCCAGGAGGGCAAAGGTCCCTCATACTCAGCCTTTTTAGGTTTATTTAGATCTTCAACTGATTAGATGAGGCTCACCACACTGGGAAGAGCAATATGCTTTATTTAATCCACTGATTCAATGGATGTTAATCACACCCAGAAACACTCGCACACACACATGCCCAGACTCACGTTTGACCATGTGCTGGGGAACCCCATGATCCTGTCAGGTTGACACGGAACCCTAACCACCACACTATTCTTAACACCCTGCACTAGAGTGGTACATTTGTCTCATTTAATGACTTCTACTGATACATAATTATTAAGTCCACATTTTATGCAGATGTCATCGTTTTTTTCCTGATTGTCCTTTTTCTGTGCCAGAAGGCCATCCAGGACACCGCATTACGTTAGGCATCATGTCTCCTTAGGCTCTTGGTTGTGACGCTTTCTCAGATTTTCCTTGTTTGTTTTTCAAAAGTGATTTGACAGTGTTGAGAAAGACTGATGAGGTATTTTATATAATGTCTCTAAATTGGAATTTTTCTGATGGCTTCACAACTAGTTGGGGTTACGGGTTGGGGAAGAAGAGGGCAGAGACAATGCGCCGCTCTCAGCGGCCAGGTCAAGGGTGCGAACCTTCAACATGACGTCACCTTTGATGTTGGCCTTGCTCACCTGGCTAGAGACAGTGTTTACCAGATTTCTATACTATACAGTCA